AAGTTTGAATGCATCTGTCAGATCCAGTAGTACCAGATTCACTGTCATGGCTAACAGTACAGGTTGGAACTAGACCGCCAGTGCTCAAGAAGGCTGTGTGATGTGAATGGCACCCTCTATCTCTCTGAGCTGAGAGGAAAAAGAACAGGCATTACACTGTTCTGAGGGCTTAACTAGTTAACATGTGGAAAACACAATATACTCTAGCATGTGCTAAGTGTCAGCTAATAAAATAGCTTGTTTTTTTTTTAACTAAAAAAAATTATAGAGCCAGGCATAGTGTTGCACACCTTTAATCCCAGCACTTAAGAAGTAAAGGCAGACGGATCTCTGTGAGTTCGAGGCCAGCCTGGTCTACAAGAGCTAGTTCCAGGACAGGCTCCAAAGCTACAGAGAGACCCTATCTCAGAAAAAACAAAAAATATATAAATAAATAAAATGAAGCAGAAGCTGGCAGATCTCTTTGAGTTTGAGGCCAGTCCATTTTACATAGTTCCAGGATAGCCAAAGCTATATAGTGAGACCCTGTCTCAAAAAAAATAAATAAACAAGTATATAAATAAATAATTGTGGGGTGAGAGAGATGGAGAGAATGTGGGCATGCACGTGTGGCAGTACCATGTGGGGGTCAGAACATAGCCCTGAGGAGTTAGTTGGTTCTCTCTGTGCAGGTGGGATCTGACGATTGAGCCTTCCGCTGGAGCAGAATCTTTGCTTTGCTTTGGTTTAGTCATTGCTGAAAACTCTTCCCTCACATCCTGCATTGATAGCCCAGGCACCTACAGCCAAGCCACACTGAGGGCACGGGACTCTTGGGGAGCACCCCAGAGGGCTGGTAGATGTCGTGTCCGCAGCCACTGCAACTCCAACAGCAGCTGCGCTGAGACGGGAAGACTATCAGTTAACTCTGTATATAAATTCTTGTTACTTTGTTCACCAGCCCAATAAAACTGTTTAATTTGCTGATATGTTTTAATCACAAAATTGGAAATTTTATAAATATACTTAACCCTCTGTGAATTGTAGATATGAATATGTAGAGATTCAATTTAGTGTTCACTTATTCACTCATCTATAAAAAGATACTTATTAAGCCCTTACAATATGCCAGCTGAAAATATAAAGATGAAAACAAACCCTTGTTTACAAGGAGTTCACAATCTAGAGGGAAAAGACAAACATAAAGCTATTAATTACACTGATAGTCATTTGCTTAGATAAAGATAAAACTAATGCAAATGAGCACCCTGAAAAATCACTTAGCTAGGTGTCCGAAGACATAGGTAAGGCTCCTATAGTAAACATCTTGTGAGCTGAGGAAAATGAAGAGGGGGAATCTCACATATAAAGGCATAAAGGCAAAGAAAATGGAGAAACCCTCCCACGGTAGAGCCACTCAGTGAGTTTGGTATGGTAGTGTGTTGAGGAGGGGGAGCACGTCTGCAGAGACTGAAGGTCCCAACACATGCTCCACTGTTCTGTGGCCAGTGAGAGACATTAAAGGGTTCAAAAACGGTTGTATTCAGTAAACATTTGTATAATGTTTATGATGTGCTAGTCTCTATATAGGTACCAGAAACACAAAATAATGTGGAAATTATGTGATTTTTCAATAAAAGGGGCAGTAGGCTGGAAAGGTGGCTCAGCAGGTGTAGCGCATGTCATGAAAGCTGAGGGCCTGAGCTCAATGACCAAAGCCCGTATAAAGGTGGGATGAGAGAACTGACTCCAAAGAGTTATCCTCTGATTACACACGACTATGACATCTCCCCCATCATACACACACGTAATAAATAAAAAAACAACATAAAATGCCCAGCATGTGTTCATGTTCAAAAAGTGTTACCGTTTAAAAATTATTTTGATCAATAAAAAAAACTAATTAGGGCATGCAGCTCAGTTGTAGAGTGCATTAATGCTCTGGTTCGATCCCTAGCACTGGCAGGAAAGAGGGGGTTACTAAGCAATTGGCTGTATTTGGGAAGTACACTGATTTGAAAGAATCACTATACATCTATTATTCCTAATTTTTAAAGCCCAAGATATTTCAGAAATTATGGTCATTTAACTTTTTGTTCTCATTACTATAATCATGCAAATTACATAACTGTTCTGGGCAATCAATGAAATGATTATTTCTTAGGTCTTTATTATCTGATTCTGGACAAAATCTTTCTTGTAAACTAGAATGCAAGCTCACCACAGGCATAAATGCTAACGTTTTTCATTTAATCATTCAACAGTTTGAGGTACCAGGTGGTTTAATGCAAAGTGATATTTGAGCTAAGCAGTGTAGAATATAGGATTTTCCTTATTTGGAAAAAAGAAATCTCACCACATATATACAATATTATCTATTATTATATTATAGTATATATATAAATGGAAAAATTGTCTTTAGTATTTCCTATTTAATTCAAGATTGAGTTAAATCTGTTTCTTGGACTCCAAATTTTTTTTTAATTTTTTGAGGCAGGGTTTCTTTGTGTAGCCTTGACTGTCTTAGAACTAGTTCTGTGAACAGACTGGCCTCGAAATCACAATGATCTGCCTGCCTCTGACTCTAAAGTGCTGGGATTAAAAGTGTTTGCCACTGCCACCCAGCTTCTGCAGCTTTTTAATGATGAGAACAAGCCACAAGCCATGGATGGGTTTTTAATAAACAGTGTTTGGTGCATATTTGAGCACAGCAAATTCTAGCAAGGACTTCTTCCAAACACTTGGTTGTTCATTCCCTGTGAGGACATTTTGATGGTTTTTCATTTTTGCTTTAGAGACAGAATCTTGCTGTGTCTGTACAGCCCAGGTTAGCCCCAGACTCTCCCGTGACTGGAGTGCTGCTGTCACAGGAGTGTGCTGCCACCGTGGAGTTGCTGGTTCTTGTCCAAGCGATTCTTGGTGCATGTTGAAGGTAAAGAAAGTGTAACATGCTCACAAGAGGGTATCCTTGTAGGAGGCCATAGCATAAAGGAATCTTTAAAGGCCAGTGATTTCCCTAGAAATTGAAACATCAGAGCCATTGTGTATATAATGGAGATGGGCTATGGTATAGCTTTATTCTTATCTTTCTAAACAAGATAGATCTGGATAGAGAAGGAGTATAAAATCACAGATTGGGATAGAAATTTAAAGTAAAACATTTCTTTTAATATCAGAGCTTGCTTTGTGGTTTGGGGGAAAATATACTACTTATAAAACTAAACAGGAACTCCTTGAAAGTATTTCAGTTTTATTCAGGGTCCACTCAATACTAAAGTATTTGAGAGTTCTGGGGTTTTGTTTGTTTTTTGCAATTGATTGTAGGGTTTGTTTTATTTTGTTTTGTTTGAGACAGGGTCTCTCCATGTAACCTGACTCCCCTGGAACTCTCTATGTAAACCACTCTGACCTTGAACTTACAGAGACTCACAGAGATCCGCCTGCCTCTGCTTCTCCCCCTAAAATATTGCTTTAAACTTGTATATGATGTGATAGAGATACAAGAGGAGCTGAAGACTATTTATGTATTCTCTTAAAAACAAGTCTGCACATGTCCACCATTCCTGATTACTTTGCATAAAAACACAGACCTATTATAGGAAAGAAATTGGGATGTTGGCCTTTGTGGCCTGTTGGAACCAGCAGTGGAGTAAACGTTATATGTTCTTTTAACTACCTCTCCTCAATCTATCCCACATCCTTCAAGCTCTACAACTGGTAAAGAGGCTCTTTTAAAAGCTTATGGTTCTTGGGCATTGGGCTAGCTGGTAAGTAGCATGGTCTTATGATATACATAAGGTTGTTTTGATTTGGTTTTGCCGGCATGTGCCATGGAGGAAAGTGTGAGTGAAGAATCACCACAGAGATACCTGGGAAGTTTTGTGAAGTCGTTTTGGGCAATGTTTGATGTTTCTGTTACTACTTTTGTTAAGAGAACACTGTATTCCAGCTGAAGAGAGGCAGGAGGATCAGGATTCCAGGGTCAGCTTGACTACATATGAAGTTGGAGACATCCTAAGCTACCCAACACCTTGTTTAAAAAAAAAAAACAATAAGGTGTTCTTTCTGCATTTAACAGTTATTGGTGTTATGTGCCTTGTGAATAGAGATGTAGTTCCATATGGTACACTTGCACCAAGTTCTCTTAGGTTCTTGCTTTTTGGATGTTCCATATGGTCATCATTTTGGAATTGTATGTTTTCAAAGATGAAATGTCCTTAATCATAGTTATTCTTCCTTATGGAATTCTTTTTTCTTTTTTTTTATTTTTTAAATTTATTTATTTATTAAGGATTTCTGCCTCGTCCCCACAACCGCTTCCCATTTCCCTCCCCCTCCCCCGATTAAGTCCCCCTCCCTCATCTGCTCGAAGAGCAATCAGGGTTCCCTGACCTGTGGGAAGCCCAAGGACTGCCCACCTCTATCCAGGTCTCGTAAGGTGAGCATTCAAACTGCCTAGGCTCCCACAAAGCCAGTACGTGCAGTAGGATCAAAAACCCACTGCAATTGTTCTTGAATTCTCAGTATTCCTCATTGTCCGCTATGTTCAGCTAGGTCTGAAAAAGCATGGGATAAATCCGGACTAGCTGAACATAGTGGAATTCTTTTTTCTATCTCATCTATAGCACTCACTTTACTCTAGATTGTACTAGTGTTTGTGGGCTTGTCTTTAGCACCACTTTGAGTCAAATCTACTACAAGAGTTCTTAACTTTTAAGGGTTTCTTTATTAACCATTTGAGACTGTAATGAAAACTATAAACTATCCTTCCACCAAAAAAATATGTACAAAAGTATATTTAAAAGTTTTTACCTTAGTCCAAGAGATTCACTCCAAGATAAAGGAGTCTTGTATCCCTGGGTTGTGTATTCCTTCGAGACAGTAGATAACTTTTGCTCACTGAGCTTGGTGTTATCCAGACACATCTCACTACCTGTAGAGGAGAGTCTCACTGAGCTGTGAACTAACCCCTTAAGCTTCCTGACACTCTCTAAACTGGATGTTTTCCTTTGTTTCTTTAGGCTTCCATCTGAGCGGCACAGTAACTGAACCAGCCACTGCTTCTGAACCAGCAGTGACTTACAAAGTTGCAATCAGTTTCGATCGATGCAAAATCACTTCCGTGACCTGTGGCTGTGGGAATAAGGACATATTCTACTGTGCTCATGTGGTAGCTCTCTCACTCTACAGAATCCGTAAACCAGAGCAAGTCAAACTGCGTCTTCCTATCTCAGAAACCCTTTTCCAGATGAATAGGGACCAGCTACAGAAGTTTATTCAATATTTAATCACAGCACACCACACCGAAGTTCTTCCTACTGCACAAAAGCTGGCAGATGAAATTCTGTCCTCCAACTCAGAAATCAACCAAGTGAACGGTAATTATATAACATTTCTTGATTTAAAAAAAATTACCTTTTTCACAACCATTGAAAGCAACACTTTTCTCTGGACATGGTGGCACATGCCTTCAATCCCAGAACTTGGGAGACAGAGGTAAGCAGATCTCTATGAGTTCAAGGCCAGCCTGGTCTACAAAGTAAGTTTCAGGACAGCCAGGGGTACACAGAGAAACCCTGTCTGGAAAAAATAAAATAAAATAAAATAAACAAACAAATAAAGCAACTCTCTATCTTGTTGCTTTATTGTATTTTACGAGGTTGGAATTTTTCTAGTGTTGTAATAATTTAACTTTAATCAATTCATTCTGTCCAAACAGCTGTTATTAACTCTTAGTTTCTTAAAGCAGTTCATTTCCACTCTATAGATATTTGGCTTGAGGTGTTGGTAGCATTCTACTTCTTGACTTGGTCGGTAGTTACAGTGTTAATCACTATGTAATAATTTATAGATTTTTACTATAGATTCTACAGTTTTCATAATTTATATTGTAACAAATGTTTAAGATCTGGGAATGTAGGTCAGTGATAGAGCACTGGCCAGGCATGTGCAAGGACCTGATCCAGTACCTAGAGCTGGAATAAAAATAGAATTTAGTTAATTTTAAAAATAGAACTTTATTAATTAAAGAAAATACTCAGGCTGGAGAGATGGTTCAGCAGTTAAGAGCACAATTCACTGCAATCACATGGTAGCTCCCAGCCATCTACAGTGAGATCTGATGCCCTCTTCTGGTGTACAGACATACATGCAAATAGAGCACTCATACATCAAAACAAACAAAAAAATACTATGTGTACACACACTTAAATATGTGCCTGTGTATACAGAGCAAAAGACTAAAAGAGTCGTAATCTATGACTGATAGAATGACAGGTGTTTTATGCTTTGGTCTAGTCCCTATATAAGTATATACTACTTTAATAATTCAAAAGATATTTAAGAAGAAAAGATCTGGGAGCTGGAGAGATGGCTCAGTGGTTAAGAGCACTGGCTGCTCTTCCAGAGGTCCTGAATTCAATTCCCAGCACCCACGTGGTGGCTCACAGCCATCTGAAGTAAGGTCTTCTGGCCTGCCAGTACACATGCAGACAGAACACTATACATAATAAATAAATCTTTTAAAAAAAGAAGAAGAAGCAGATGTGTCTCACTGTCATGAAAAGCTTTAGGTTGTTAAATATATTTTTAAAAAAAGAAAGAGAGAAAAGAAGAAAAGAGCTGGGTACAGTGGCCACACCTGCAGTCCCACTGCTTTGGAGGTAGAAGCCAAAAGAGTCAAGAACTCGGTCATCCTCACTTCACATCAAGTTCAAAGCCAACTTGAGCTACATGAGTCCTGACTCAAAGGAGAGAGACAGAGACAGACAGAGAAAGACGGGAAGGAAGAACGTTGTTCCTCAGACCTAAAAGCTCCCTCAGGACATGTGTCATAAAGCTTCATGAGAAAAAGCTAGTTCCCGAAATGCTTCACAGAGTGGACTCACCTTTTAGTAATAGTAGACCATCAGAGTTTAAATTAGAGATGGCGTGATGTTTCTTATTTAACTCATTTTACACTTCAGCTGTGGCTTGATTAATAATTATTTATAAAAGATACCCCTTCCATTTTATCTTCTCCTGTCACCCAGAGGAAGACCCAGACTATCACACTAAAGTGTCATTTCCCTTCACATGTTATCAGTACTAGAAGATAAGTCACCTCATTCTCACTCTTTTCAGGAGAAGGCTCAAATATCCAAACCAATAAACTTATATAAGAACATTTTAATTTAACGTAACTTAATTTTCAATCAATAGATTTAGATGGGGAGTTAGAGGAACCCAGTTGAAATGGTTCTGCACACTTCCTTTAAATAATACCCTTTCTCTATCTGACTTTTGAATGTGGACATTTCTTATTTAATCTTTTTTTTTCTCATTTCATTGGATCTCTATATGTTGCTTTGATCTGCTGCTTTGTCCCACTGAACTTCCCCCTTAGGGGTGGGTGTGAGCAGGAACCAGGTCAAAGGCTCAGACCCCAGGAGAGAGACAGGCTGGGTGCTGCAAGTTCAGTTTATTTTAGGAAGGGGAAATCCCACCCAGCTGAGGGGAAGCAGCAGCACTGGCGTCAGGGTCTCTCTTGGGGGCTGGAGACTGGTTTAGGTTGTTTTGTCTCACCGCAGGGCAGCAGTTGCTGGGCCCCTTGGCAGACCTAGCTTGGCTCGATCTGGAGAAGTTACATTCTGCATGCTCAGATAGCTGGTTTAGTCCAGTTCAGACAAACAAGAGCTATTGGCCCCCAGGTCCTTTGTGCCTGGGCAAATATCCCTCCCCCATCTATAGACAGTTTCAACACTTCCTTTGACTTCAGATGTAATCTGTTTATCATGAGTCACAGATTCCTTTTCCTAGTCCAGCACTTGAGTTTTATATATTCTCCTGACTTTTATATCACAGAGACATCCCAAGATCAGTAGATCCAAATGTGAGTTTATAGTCTAAGAAGTTAACTCGTTCTGCTTCTTCACCATCTCAACGATTAGCAAGCACTATGCTCTAGACACCAATCCAAACCTGTATTCATCTCTAACATCTTTTCTTTCTACATGAATTCCATTGCACAATCTGTTCATCTTAAATACTTCATGATTTTAGCTCCTATAATTTAATTTTTCTATAACTACAGATGTTGTCACACCATTTGTTTATTTTTGAGACAGGGTCTCACTATGTATCTCTGGCTGACCTTGAACTCATAGATCTGCCTGCCTCTGCCTTCCAAATGCTGGGTTTAAAGGCATGCGCCACTACCACCCACCCACACTATTTCCTTCTTTCTCTTTTCTTTTTTGGAGGGTGGGCTTTGGGGTTTTGGTTTTTTGAGACAGGGTTTCCTTGTATAGCACTAGCTATCCAGGAACTCACTCTATACTAGGATGGCCTTGAACTCAGAGATCTGCCTGCCTCTGTCTCCCAAGTACTGGAATTAAAGACCTGTGCCACCACAGCCTGGCTCCATTTCTTTTTTTTTTTTTTTACTTAAAAATTTTCACCTCCTCCTTTTTCCCTCCCCTCCCCGTCCCTCTCCAGTCCAAAGAGCAGTCAGGGTTCTCTGCCCTGTGGGAAGTCCAAGGTCCTCCCCCCCCCCCCATCCAGGTCTAGGAAGTGAGCATCCAAACAGTCTGGGACTGATGGAGCATGTGATCAAACCGAACTCTCTAACACGTGGGACAAGGAGGGCTGACTGAGAAGCCAAGGACAATGGCACTGGGTTTTGATCCTACGGCTCCATTTCTTCTTTAAAATCCTTCATTGGTCGCCTATTATTATTAGGAAAAAGTCCACATTTCTTTAGTCTACAAAACAGTGCACAACTAGCTATTGCCTACATTTTTACATGATATTCCCTTGAGGGAATGTCTTCTTCCCTTCTCCTATTATATTACAGTGTAGTTTATGACTTCATGCTGTCTTTGAACAAAAAATACACTCAGTATTTCCCTTACTCTGTGCCAGGCAGACTCCCATTCGCTCTTCCAGGGTATTTTTTTAAGCCTATTGCAGCCTCTCTTTCCGCATGAAAGTGTGTGTGTGTGTGAAGAACTGGGAAAGTAGTTATTGCTAGTATGTACAAGGCTCTGGGTTCAGTAACGGGAAAAATATGCATATGATTATTTGTGTATCCCCTTTCTCTCCAGCTAGTCCAAAGCCTCCAAAGAGGACAGGGACTGTATCAGTTTTGTTTATCACCAAATATTCAGTATTTGACATTAATTCTACTTCATATTAGGCTCTTGATAAATATTAATTTTTGGCTTCCTCTGTTTTGTTTTATTTTGTTTTTGAAATAAGATCTCACTGTATTGCTCAAGCTAGCCAGAATTCTTGAACAAAGGGATCCTCCTTCCCTAGCCTCAAAAGTTGATGGAAGTAGAGGCATGTGTCACTGCATCTGGCTAAATGTTTGTTTAAAAAATGAAACTGTTGGGGTTGGAGAGATGACTCAGTGGTTAAGGGCACTGTCTGCACTCTAAAGGACCCAGGTTCAGTTCCCAGAAACCACATGGCAACTCACAACCATCTATAACTGTAGTCCCATGGAGTCTGATGCCTTCTTCAGACATACATGTAGACATTGCACCCATCTACATTAATAAATAAGTAAATCTTTCTTTAAAAACAAATGAAACTGTCTTATAAAATATTCTGTAGTTCTGGGCATGGTGCTACACACCTGCAATTCCAATACTTGGGAAGCCAAGGAAGGAGGATTCAGAGTTGAAAGCCAACATTGTCTGCATCATGGAATTGAGACCAGTCTTACCAACATAGGAAGATCCCATCACACACACATGCACACACACACCCCTTTGTGGGGCCTCTTAGCTTTTTTCAGATGACTATATAGTCTTAACATTCACACCGATTTTCTCTTGTATCTTACCAAAACGTTTTCATACTTTCTTTTCCTTTATTTTTTTCTTTTCTTTGTTATAACTACCCAGTAGCAGACCAGAAAACATTTTGAGTGAAATTTGATTGTTAATAACTATAAAGATTTTCGATGGCCCAGCCCTATCCTAGCAGGTTATTCTGTAGGACATGTACTAGATATTTTGTAATGCCTAATTTCTTCCACAACTGCTATGACCATTTGGATCCAAGGTGCTCTCTGCTTTTCTTCATATCTCCTCCAATTCTGAGAGATGATTGCCTTCCATATTTGCAGCCGGTTGATTAAGGCCAGCTTTCTTCTTAGGGCAGATTCCTAAGTCTGCTTTTTCATCCCCTGTTGATCCAATGCCTCTGCCTTCTGCTGCTAGACCACTATTGTTATTCTTTCCTCAGTCCTTAGACCCAGTCCTTGGCTTTTTCTAGTTTATCTCAGTTCCTTCTCTGCTGAGCTACCGACTTGGTTCCAAAACATCCCAAAAGTATGTCCAAAATAACTGTATTAACAGTCACCAGCACTGTGCTAATAAATGATTTATCTAGGGATTGAAATATGAGCAAGGAGCCAACAGACATTCAGGGAAGAGGTCTGTGTTAATAACCCCAGCTGTGTTTAGAGTAGTTTTGCTGAGGTAAGCCCAGATATGAAGGGAACTTGAATACAGGTTTATGAAATCATATCACATCTATAGCTCTGTTACGCTTTAGGAAATAGTTTTGTGGTGAAATACAACATAACACATACATGTTTATTTGTTAAGATGTCTCATATGACCTGGGCAGTCCTTAAATTCACTATATAATCAAAGATGGATTTGAACTCCTGATCCTTCTGTTTCTACCTCCTGAGTGTTAGGGACTAGAGATTATGTACCACCATGCCTAGCTAAAAATACAGTTTTATGTTCTAAGAAAGTATTTTTAGTTTTAAAAATGATATATGTATATTAATATAGATTTGAACTTCACAGAGGAGCAAAGCAAAATAATAAATATCACTTTTCTAGGGGGGAAGGAAATGTTATGATTTTTCCTCCTATGTTTTGAAGATGCAAAGGAGAACTAAACTAAGTTTCTCCTACCAAATCCTCAGAATACAGCACAGAAGGCCTCTGTGACCAGCTGTGCAGGGTTTACTTTCTCTTCACACCAACCAAGTGGTTCCACAGTAGACACCAACATGTCCTCTAATATAATTCATTTCTAATACTAACTACCTGAAAGGGGGATAAGGCCCACATGTTGAAGGCACAATCTCTGGAACTGTTACTTCTGCCCTACTTCAGATGCTAGTCACATGCCCCAGGTTGCTTTCACTTTTAGCTAGCTGGCAGACTGACTGACCATAAACCGAGGTTCCCACACTCCTTTCCTGATATTCAGTTAATTTGCTGGGGCAGATCACAGAATCGGGGAAACATTTTTCTTACATACGCAGGTTCATTATAATATTACCAAAGGTACAAGTGAAAAATACATAGGGCAAAGCACATCTTACAAGAGGCTGTGCTTCCATACCTTATCCACGTATGCTACTCTGGAGAACCCTCCCCCATGTTCTACTATTTGGGAGCTCTACAAATTCTGTGCTATTGGGTTTTGTGGAAGTGTCATTACATAATGATTGTTTAAATCATTGGCCATTGGTGAGCAATTTAACCTTCAGGACTCTATTTCTCCTCATTAGAGGTTGACACATGAGACTGAATGTCCCAGCTCTCTGCCTGGATGAGCAGTGCCAATCCTGAAGCTGTCTAGCTTGTCTTGACTGTCACCAGCAACTCATTAGCACCCAGAAAGGCACCACTTTGAAAATTCCAAGGACTTTAAAGTTGTATATCATGCCTGGAGAGATGGCTTGAGCAGATAAGAGTACTCATATTTACAGAGTACCTGGGTTTCACCAGCACCCCCATGGCAGCTAACAACCAGATATAACTAGTTCCAGAGGATTTGATGCCCCTTTCTGGCCTCTGCAAGCACTATATATTTGTGATGCATAGACAGACATGCAGCCAAAACACCCAAACACATAAAATGAAAATCTTTTTTTAAAAAATAGTTGTATGCAGCCAGGCGGTGGTGGTGCACGCCTTTAATCCCAGCACTCGGGAGGCAGAGGCAGGCGGATCTCTGTGAGTTCGAGGCCAGCCTGGTCTACAAGAGCTAGTTCCAGGACAGGCTCCAAAACCACAGAGAAACCCTGTCTCAAAAAAACAAAAAAAAAAAAAAAAATAGTTGTATGCTATGAAATAAAGAACAGAGGCCACAAGTATATTTAATAATAGCAGGTTTGTATCTCTCTCTAACTCTCCTCTTTTCCTTTTCTTTCTTTTGGGTTTTGTTTTGTTCTTCAAGACAGGGTTTCTCTGTGTAGTCCTGGCTATCCTGGAATGTGCTCTGTAGACCAGACAACCAGTCCATCTGCCTCTGCCTCCCAAGTTCTGGGACTAAAGGCATGTGCTGCCACCACCCACTAGAATATTTTATTCCAGCCTTTTCAGTGGTCCTCGACCTTAGAAGGCCACAACTGTGACTCGTGTGAACCTAAAACTAGCGTGAATCTTACATTTCTGGTTTCCCACACAGTTGCCAAAGCATTAACTATCTCTGTATGTATGTCTGTATGTTCACTTGTGCCTCCCGGCTGAGTGTGTGCCATGGGAATCCAGAGCACTCATTACACGGTTCCTGTTCCTTACAGGTGCACCTGACCCCACGGCTGGGGCCAGTATCGATGACGAGAACTGCTGGCACTTGGATGAAGAACAGGTGAAAGAACAAGTGAAGCTTTTTCTCTCCCAGGGGGGCTACTATGGCTCTGGAAAGCAGCTCAATTCAATGTTTTCCAAGGTAAGAAACAAAAAAGTAAACCCGGCTCACCACACTTCTGCCTTCTGAAGGTGTACCTAGCTTACTTTACCTAGCTGTACTGAGTACTTAAAACCTAGCAGGAGAGGATAAGCAGAACCCTCATGAGCAGGCTAGTCCATCATGCCTAACTACCTCTCTCTGGTAGTCTGTCTTTCTGCTGTACTCTCTGAAATGAGCTGGAGAACTCTCTGCTGTGCACCCAAAGCTGCCCGATGAAGCTCCAGAGACTAGCGTTTCAACAGTGTTCCAGAACAGACTGTTTTGAAACTTGAGGCACTCGTGCCAGACAGGCTGGGTTGGTTTTATTGTTGTAGTTTTCTCCCTCTCTCTTCTCGTTAGCACCTTTACTGGGATATAATATATATACTATATGGTTTACGCATATAATCAGTACAAATTTGGTTGGAGATGCAGGTCAGCAGTAGCATGTACAAGACTTGTGTACAGTTCAGTTGGTTTTTTGTGGGGTTGGTATAGTCACAGATAGAATAGAGCCATCACCACAATTAAAATTCTCATCACCTCAGAAAGAAACTTCATGCATTTACCAGAAGTGAGCTGCTTCAGAAATCGGGTATTTATCTTTCCACAACATCAAATCTATGGAAAAACAAGAAATTCACAAGTGATGTCAATTTTGTTGGTTTTGATTTACCCACTAGTCCTGATTTCACATTAGAGTTGCAGGGTTTCTTTAATTCAAGATTTCTTTGGTGGGGAGGGATCTTGTGACGACATGAATGTAGTGCTCAGAGCATAACTATATGAAATCAGTTCTGTTTCCCCCTCTTCCTTGGTTCCAGGATTGAACTCAGTCACCAGGCTTAAGGGCCAAGTATCTTTATGTGCTAAGCCATCTGGCTGACCCCACAGTTTATTTTATTCCAACCTTAATTACAGATATTAATTTTAAGATCACATTATACATCATCCCAGTGTTATACACATACACACTCTATCACCTATCTGCTTATCTATCATCTACCTATCTATTATGTATATATGTATGTATGCATTCATACATGCTTCTGCTGGGAGAAGCAGATGCTCTAACTCTTTAGGGGTTGCTACAAAAAGATTGAGCTACAGATGTCAGTGAGGCCTCTCTGAAGTCAAGACGAGATAACAGACACGTGCAAAGAGAGTCACCCAAGGGGGTCAGATAAATATTAACATAAGGGGATGGAAAGATGGTTCAGTTTGTAAACTGCACCTGCAGTCAGTCCCCTGCAATGCTGGTAAAACAGAAGATGAAATGCTGAAACTCTGGAATTCATTGGCCAGCTTAGCCTATTTAGCAGAGTTGCTGGCTATCTCAAACAGAAGATGAAGTGTACCTAAGGAACAACACTCAAGGTCATCTTCTAACTTCCACACAAACACACACAGAGAGACACACACACGTGCATGTACATGTACACATATGTGAAGATATTGACATGAAAGCCCAGTCACAGAACTGTTCTGAGTTGCAGGGCAGGTTCCAACTGGTTCAAGATGAAGAGCCAGATTGGAAGAAAAGAAGTCTAAGCAGACACTGTCAAGCAGAGGGACCGTGCTGACTGAAGTCCCAGAGACAGTCCAGACTCTCACCTACCAATTACTTTGTGTCAGTTGGTTCGCTGAGAAGTTGACAGGTGCCTCTCTACCCCATTGTTAAGTGTCCCTTTTATTTATTTTTATTCATCTATTTATTGTACATCCTGGCTATAGCCTCCCCCTCCTATTTTCCCCTCCCAGTCCCTCTCCCCCATTTCCCCTCCCATCCTCCAATCTCCTCCTCTTCTGTCTCCATCCAGAAAAGGGCAAGTCTCCTATGAGTATCAATAAAACATGGCATATCAAGTTGCAGTAAGACTAAGTACCTCCCAATGTATTAAGTCTGAGCAAGGCGACCCAGTATGAGGAGTAGGGTCCCAAAAGCCAGTAAAAGATTTAGAGATAGCCCCTGTTCTCACTGTTAGGAGTCCCATAAGAGGACCAAACTACACAACTGTAACATATATGCAGAGTGCCTAGATCAATCTCATGTAGACTCCTTGGTTGTTGGTTCAGTCTCTGTGAGCCCCTATGAGCCCAGGTTAGTTGGTTGTGTGAGCCCTCCCGTGGTGTCCTTGACCCCTCTGGCTTCTACACTCCTTTCTCCTCCTCCTCCAAAGGATTCCTGAACTCTGCCTAATACTTGACTGTGAGTTTCTACATCTGCCTCCATCAGTTGCTGGATGAAACCTTTCCGATGACAACTGGGCCAGGCACCAATCTGGTCACAGGACACGACCAGTTCAGGCTATTTATCCACTATTACTAGGAGTCTAAGCTGGGGTCCTCCCCATCGATTCCTGGGAGATTCCCCTGCACCAGGCTTCTGGCCAACCCCAAAATGCCCCCTCTCCCAACAGCCCCCCTCAACACTCAACCCCTCTTTACCCCAAAACCTGATCGATCATGTTCTCAACCCACCTGCCCTCCGTCTACTCATGAAATCTCTTCTATTTTCCCTTCCCAGGGAGATCTGTGTTCCACTTTTGAATGCTGCTTATTACCTAGTCTCTGGGTCTGTGGACTGTAGCACAGTTATCTTTATTTTACAGCTAGTATCCTTGTTTGTCTTTATCAGTCTGCGCTACCTCACTCAGGATGATTTTTTTTCCTAGTCCATCCATTTACCTTCAAATTTCCCAGTATCCTTGTTTTTCACAGCTGAGTAATACTCTATTGTGTAAATGTACCATTCCTCAGTAGAGGGGGTGTCCTTCCTTTTATATGACCAGGTAAGGAGACTGCATCATCTGTTGGTCAATGTTCAATAAGTTCACAAACCTGCTTTTTTTGACATGGTTTTGATGCATTCCATGTGTTCTTGATTTGATTTGATAAGTTCATAGTGATAATATTTTTCATGAGTTGTGCTTGGCAGATGGTAGTTATTTACCTGCACAAGCAAGAGGGGGAGCTCTTCTGCATTAGCATTTGAACTTTAGCGAGAATCAAACGCTGTTTTATAAATGGAGCTAGTCAGGGCAACGCACAGCCTAAAGGTCATGTTTGACTTAGCGCAGAGTAACTAGAGCAGATAACAGCTCATCTCACACTAACACTCTCTCTTATCCTCCATATTTGCCTACCTACCCCCAGCTCTCAGTAACCTCTTGTCTACTTTCTGGGTCTATAACCATCTCTATTCTGGACTTTCAAATAGTAAAAATGTGTGTGTGTGTGTGTGTGTGTGTGTGTGTGTGTGTGTGACTTCTTTCACTTCTAAGCCTGCTTATTTAAAGGTCCATCTTTATAGTTAAGTAATAATCTGTTTTATTTACCCTTTGTCTGTTCATAGACACTTGGATTGCTTTCACTTTTTGGCTACTCTGAAAAACGGTTGCTCTTAACATTCTTGTACAAGTTCTACAGAGATGATTCTTCAAGGTGGCTGCCTCATTTTATAGTCCCACCAACAGTATGTGGGTTTTGATTTCTTTACATCCAGGCCAATACTGTTGTTATCTTTTTATTCCAGCTGTCCTGGTGTGTTTAAAGAGGTATCTCATTATATATAACAGGCTTTCTTGATACGTGTAGGAATTTCACTTGCAGAGTTAAGAGGCTTTCTTTCTGTCTCTTACAGTATGCAACTACATCATCTTCTCCACCTGTTCTGCATCCCTCACCTTCTCTCTCGCTGTGCTCTGCAGTTACCAATTACTTGCCCCTCCTTATATGTCAGGTCCGAGAGATGCTGCGTATGAGAGATTCCAATGGAGCCAGGATGCTGACACTTATAACTGAGCAGTTCATGGCTGATCCCCGCCTCACACTCTGGAGGCAGCAAGGAACAAGCATGACAGACAAGTGCAGGCAGCTCTGGGATGAGCTGGGTAAGTCCCTATCCCTCACAAGTCCTGTATCCTATCAGTCTACCCTCGGAGATCTCCCTTAGAGAGCATTTGCTGTGAGTTTTGTGTGGGTCTTGCTATTCTCACTCAGGAACATTTCAGGTTCAGCAGACGCTTCCTGTTCTCACTGTGCTTTCCTGTTAAGGATTCTATTTCATGTTACCCACATAGGAGCCATCGCTGAAAGAACCCTCTTCACTAGGCTTCAGTTGCATGGGACGACCTGGCTCTCCAAATCCTTAACTCAGGTTCTGAGGACATAGCTCAGCTAGTAGAATGCTCTCCTAGCATGTATGAGACCCAAAGTTCAACCAGCACTGCATAAAGCAGGCGTGCTGGCACACACCTGTAGTCTCAGCACCTGGCAGGAGTTCAGGATCACCCTAGCTCCTTGGTGAACCCCAACACCACAACGAACCCTTAGCCTCACTTTTGTTGCTTTCTCCAAGCCTGCTCTCTGGGGTATGCCTAGCCAGACCACTCAGGTGTGAGAAGCTCTCTTTTTCTCTACTCATTAAGAGCTTCATGGAGAACCAGGCATTTTAGTCCCTAAACTAGTCTCTGTACTTTAAGGCCATCCTGGTCTACATATAAAGTTCTAGCCCAGCCAGGAGTGTATGGTCAGAACTTGTCTCAAAAAGTAAAAAAATAAATATAAACAAGGATAATTTAAAATTCCTTTAACAAATAAGAGTTGAGCCACTATAAGTAAACTTTCATGAGGCTAGGTGCCCTTTGAAACATTCCTATTTAAGAAAAACATTCTGTTTTACTTTAGAGGCTATGAAGTCTGGGGCTGGAGACAGAGGTTAAGAACATGCATTATTTTTGTGAGGACCGAGTTCAGTTTTCAACACCCATGTCAAGCAGCTCATAACTGCCTATGACTCCAGCTCCGAGGGGATGGATGCCTCTAACCTCACACACAAACATAGACATATGCACATGCATGCATAAGCAAATAATAATAAAAATATCTTTTAGAAAAAGGCTGTGAAATTCCCATCCATGATTAAATTAAGAAGCATTAAGTAACTGGGTATGGTAGCTTTAATTCCAGCATGTGGAAGCAGAAGTCAGAGGGAGGTGAGTTCAAGATCAACTAGTCTGAGCAATTTAATTTAGCAAGACACTGCTGGGGGAAAGTTACTTCATTTCTGCTTATTGCTAACTGGAGACTGAGAAAATACCTGGCACAGCAGCATAGCCAATCCTGACCTGAGAATAACAGGTCTTTCCTTGGAAAGGAGAGCGAAGTGTTCAAATAGTACCCATCGTTCTTTGGAATATATGATGTTCTCCACAGTGACAGAAAAGAACTGAAAAAAAAAAGTAGTGTTTTAAGGCATCACTAATTCGATCAGCAGTTCTAAAATCCAAGTCCAAAGTAAATCATTTTTCTTTGAAAAAAGAAATACTAAGATTTGTTCTGTAATAATATATCCGACTAGATCTTTTATAAATTTTATTTCATGTAATTCTCCTACTATCCTAATAAAATAGATTTTTATGGTCTTAGTTTAATAATTGAGGAACTTAGAGGCCAAAAAATTCAACTACCCAAAATATGAAACTTTTCTGAACACCCCTCTTCCAACCTTGACCTTGTGTTTAAGTGCCTTTTTCTATGTGCTATTATACCCTGAATACATTGTGTGTGTGTGTGTGTGTGTGTGTGTGTGTGTGTGTGTGCACAAGTGTGTATGGCATACTTGAAAAGGCCAGAGGACAACCTGTTGATCCTTAGGCACCTTCCACTTATTTGAGGTAGGGTCTCTCATTGGTCTGGAAAATTTGTCACACAGGCCAGTCTAGCTGACTCTCAAGCTTCCGGAGATCCTCCTGTCTCCACCTCGAATCTCACTATGGCAATACATGGATTTCAGGCACATGCTACTGCATCTAGCTTTTATGTGGGCCCTGGAGATCTGAACATTTGAAAGGCAAGCACTCTAACCACTGAGTTACCTCCCCAGCCCTATCCCCTGAACATATCTTAATTCAGCACATTATATTCACATGGCATTATGCTTATTCATCCATCTCTCCTACCAGACAGCTCCTAAAGACAGGGTCTATTCACCCGTTGTTGGGTTACTTTTACATTGCTGTGGCCACACTATCAGATAAAAACTAAAGACTCATTTGGCTTAGAGTTTCCCAAGTTTTAGTCCTTCAGCTAATTCTGAAAATCTTAGTAATTATATTCATATTTATATCTAATATATATATATGTGTGTGTGTATGTATGTATTTTTGACATGTATGAGAGAGAAGGAACTAATGGGTTATTTGCTTTTTGCTTTGGGCGCATTTGGGCTGTTTGGATGCCGAGGACTGAAGCACAGGCACGCGTGTTACTCCCAGATACTAAGAATGTAGACTGCTCTGTTTTTTAGGGGCCTTATGGGTATGCATTATTTTAAACCCACACTGCAAACTGGAAGAAAAATCCTGTTGGCTACAACAACTACAGAAGTGGAACGACCTGGATATCTGTCCCCTGGAAGATGGAAACTATGGGCATGAACTGCCCAACATTACCAATGCACTTTCCCAGAGTGCCAGCCACAGCCCAGGTGAGCCAAGTACCTTTGTGTTTAGAACTTCAAAAGCTGGAGGACAAAACACCAGAGCAATGGTGACCAGGCAACTGCCTTCTTCTTCCCCCTCCTCCTTCTTTTCTTGTTTTTTTCTATCAAAATTATCATCTTAAATAAGAAAAGCTTTTCTTTTCATTCATCTCAACATACTAAATCTTAAATAAGTGTAAGTGTTTGTCTTCTACCTGAGGCTGTTATCTTTTTCCACGTTAAGGGTGTCTGCAATGCCCAGCGTGAAGTCCTCATGCTCTCTGCCTGACTCTCCTCTAACCTGCAGGAGCTCTGTGTTCAGTTTGGGTTGGTTTGTATAGTTCAGAAACCTGCTTTAAAAGAGACAGAAGCCTACTGAAAACTAAACAAAAGTTGTAAAGATTGTCCTAAGGCCAGTGATATGTCTCAGTCCTGAATTCCCAGCATCCTGGAGGTAGAGGCAAGTGGACAGATCTCTGTGTGAAGTGTCCTTACCAGTCCTTTCTTACTCTTGTTTCTCCCTGTTTTCCTCAAATTTTTATAAAGCCTGATCTACGGAGTGAGTTCCAGGACAGCCAGGTCTACACAGAGAAACCCTGTCTCAAAAACTAAAAATCAAATACATTCTCCCAAGTTATTAACAAGATTCCTGCCCCATTTTAAGGCAAACTAGTAAAGTAGTATTATGTACTATGTATACCCTGTCTTTTGAGCCCACTGTTCTATGGGTGTAACTTAATAGCAAACATCTACACCCACATTATTCCTTCTAAATCAGGCCTTTTAATGCTGACCACTTGTTCATCAAGTCTTACTGGTAGGTCATTTGGTCAGATCTTACATATGTCTCTTTTCTTAAGTAATAGCTGTCGGCATTTTTCAGCCTCAAGGTAGAAATCACTTAAGTAATTGTTTTTGTTTGGCCATCATCTACTGTACTGTAATTAGTTGCCAGTGTACTTAAGATAACTAAGTTAATGAGCCATGAAGAAACTATAATCTTGTCACTTCATTAAGCTACCCATTCCTGGCATTCATCTAACCTACACAACACCGGAAGTCATCACTGGCATAGAGGATCAAATATATACAAGCACACTCCCCACTCTGGAATTTCTCATTTGTGTTGGTTCTTCTTGTTACCTAATTCTTTTTTGGATTTTTGCGAGACAGGGTTTCTCTGTGGCTTTGGAGCCTGTCCTGGAACTAGCTCTGTAGACCAGGCTGGCCTCTAACTCACAGAGATCCGCCTGCCTCTGCCTCCCGAGTGCTGGGATTAAAGGCGTGCACCACCACCGCCCGGCTACCTAATTCTTTTCCACACACAGCCCAATCTTTGTTGTTGCTGAATTGTTTTGTTTGGGAAGACCTCATTTTAGGAGGCCTGAAGAGACAACTCAGCACTGATTGCTCTCCCATAGGTCCTAAGCTCAATTCCCAGTAACTACATGATGGCTCACAACCATTTATAATAGGATCTGATGCCTTTTGTAAATAGAGCACTCATATACATAAAATGCATAAAAAAACCAGGTAGTGGTGGTGCACGCCTTTAATCCCCGCCTCCTCCTTTGTGTTTGTACTTCTAAGTCCAGACAGTTCTCTCTCTCCCTCTGTCTTTCCCCCATCCCTTCTCTCTCTCTCTTTCTCTCTCTCTCACTCTCTTTCTTGGCTTTTCGAGACAGGGCTTCTCTGTGTAGCCCTGGCTGGACTTGAACTCGTAGAAATCTGTCTGCCTCTGCCTCCTGAGTGCTGAGATTAGTGCTTTACCACCACCTGGCCCAAACCCTTCTTTCTCTTATTCCCTAAATCTTATTCCTTTTCCTTTATCTATGATACTGCTTTAGTGATGATCTCCCATCTCTTCTACACCCAAACTTTTCCCCACTCCGTGAGTTATACAAGCCCACTGTTATGTGTGTCCATCCTTAAACAAAACAAAGCAAAGAAAAAAACACTCTTAGGACTCCACATACCTTTCTGGCTGCCTTTCTCTGAGCTATGAGAGTTAGGAAACGTAATTCAGAGCTGAGTATAGAGTACATGCCTATAATTTCAGCCTCAGAATGTAGGAGCAGGGAGGATCATAAATTCAAGGCCAGTTTAGACTGCATAAGCAAGACCCTACCTCGGGAACTCACCAAGGCCAGCTGGCCTAGGTCTGAAAAAGCATGGGATAAATCCGGACTAATAGCGGACAATGAGGAATACTGAGAACTCAAGAACAATCGCAGTGGGTTTTTGATCCTACTGCACGTACTGGCTTTGGGGGAGCCTAGGCAGTTTGGATGCTCACCTTAGGAGACCTGGATATAGGTGGGCGGTTCTTGGACTTCCCACAGGTCAGGGAACCCTGATTGCTCTTCGAGCAGATGAGGGAGGGGGACTTGATCGGGGGAGGGGGAGGGAAATGGGAAGCGGTTGCGGGGAGGAGGCAGAAATCCTTAATAAATAAATAAATTAAAAAAAAAGAAGTTGTTTGTTTCTTTGTTGAGACAGGGTTTTCTCTGTGTCTCCGTGTAACAGCTCTGGCTGTCCTGGAACTCGCTTTGTAGACCAGGCTGACCTTAAACTTACTGAGATCTGCCTGCCTCTGCCTCCCAAGTGTTGGGATTAAAGGTGTGTGCTACCACTACCTGGCAAAAAAAAAAAGTATTTTTTTAAACTAAAAGAAAAATTATTTCAGAGGGTATATATATATATATATATATATACACACAAAAAAAAATCATTTATGTCTACTTCTGCTCTCTGATTTTCCTTTGAGTACACCCTAGTCAGGTTTTCAGCCCACCCTGTACTAAGAAGAGCTCTATGCTCTGTGCTGGTCTACCTACATGCCACTATGTTCCTGTCATGTCAATAATAAACTAACCCCCTGAAACTGTAAGACAGCCACAATTAAATGTTTTCTTTTATAAGAGTTGCCATAGTCATGGTGGGACTACTGTACTGTGGGAATGGACAAGATGAAACGGGCAAAGTGCAAGCTGTGTTGAGAGCAGACTAACTTTGGGACAGACTCAGTATTATTATTAGATATAAAATAGGAGAGATGCAGACAGGGACTGTCATGATTTGAGCTTACTTTGTGTGTCGCTTTCCCTGCAGCCTTTCCCTGAAGGGAGGTGGCTTGGTCAGCTTTCCAGGAGAAAGGTCTTGTCAGGGCCAGCTCTTTCTGCAGAGAACAAACTATAAGCTGACAGACAGAGATAAAGGTCCCAAATGCAGACGGCTTTACGTCTTCCTCGGCCTTTATTGGTTTTATGTGTAAATTTTTACTTGTTTTTGATTTTTAGGGCACCTGAGGCAGGGGGTATTGTTTGTTTGTTAAAACAGTGTAATATCACCCAAGCTAGCTTCAAACTTGTGAGCTTCCTGTGTTGGGCTCCTGAGTAGTTTTCCAGTTTCTGGTACGAATATCACAGAAGCCCTTAGTGTGGTAAGGGCCATGCTGCAAATGGAACAAGTTACGATTAGTTAGGGCATTATCTCGCTGCCTCTCCCTTTCTCTGATGCTATGGAAACAGCTTATATCCTGACTATTGAGGGGCAGATCACAAATGTCCCTTCAAGCTTCGTGTTGCTCTGAATCCCAGTAGAAGGCTATTCAAAGAGGAAGGAATTCACAGACCTCTGTATAAGGGTTTTTTGATAGCGGACAGAGATGTACAAAAGGTTTATTTAAGGGGACAACACAAATGTCCAGACTGACAGAACGTCCAGACAGACAGGATATCCAGACGGTTCTTCTGGCCAACCTCCCTCCTAATGAAGATGGGGTGTTAGATTATTCAGCCTTTCTTTCTCCTCCCCCAGACTCTTTATCCAGACCAAGACGAACAGTCTTCACTAGAGCCATTGAGGGCCGTGAACTGCACTGGCAGGACAGCCACCTGCAGCGAATAATCAGCAGTGATATCTATACTGCGCCAGCCTGCCAGCGGGAAAACGAGCGACTACTTTTTAATTCCCACGGCCAGCCACTGTGGCTAGGTAAGTCTAGCCTCTGTGCTCCGAGAATTTCAGGGCCCAGTCCCACCGGTACCAGGCCCACATGAGCCCGCAGTCTAGGTCCCGGCAACACTAGCTACAACTTAGAGTCTATATAGCTCTTTTGGAGCGTTTACTACCAACCCAGGTCATTTATTTGAGGCCTGCTTCATTTGTATGTTTGCTCAAGTGAGATATAGCAATCTCAGGTAGAAATGTGTATCCTTTCCCTAAGCTTTGGAAGAAGATAAAGCAGTTGATAGATATTGAAGAGCAATAACAAAGCCACTAGCTATCAGTTCACACACTTGCAGTCATCTGTTACTGAGCAACATTATATCCTGCTCTGAAGTTATGTTCTGTTTGAAAAGCACTATAGGAACTGAGGATGTAGCAGGTCAGTAAGCATCAGAGTTTGATCCCCAGAGCCCATATAAAATAATCCAGGCATTGTAGTGTGTACTTACAGTCCCAGTACTGGGAAGGCAGAGACAGCACATCCCCAAAGCTTGCTAGCCAGGCTAGCCTAGTGTTAATGGCTAGTTACAGGCCAGTGAAAGACCTTGTCTTTAAAAAAATAGTCATGGTTGATGGTGGCACACGCCTTTAATCCCAGCACTCAGAAAGCAGAGGCAGGAAGATCTCTGCCAGTCTGGTCTACAGAGCGAGTTCCAGGACAGCCTCCAAAGCTGCACAAAGAAACCCTGTCTCAAAAAATTTTTTAAAAATCAACAAAAGAAACCTTATTTCGAACCCCACACCACCACCACCCCCAAAACAAAAATACAGCAAAATGACTCTGTGAGTAAAAATGTTTGCTGCACAAGCTGATGACCTGAGTTTGATTGCTGGAACCTATAGTGGAAGGAGAGAACCTACTCCTGAAACTTATCCTTTGATTTCCACATGCAGTCTGCAGCATACACATGTTTGCACTCACACTCATAGGCACACACAATAATAATAAATAACATGTATAATTTTTAAGAGGTGGTTAATGCCGGAGGAGTAATGCCCAAGATTGTTCTCGGGACTCCACATATATGATCATACATGTACACACACATGAACACACACACATAAAAATAATAATATGTTTGAAACCAGTTACTCTGTACTGTACTGGTAATGTGGATGAAGTCTGTGTTCATCACCAGGCTGTCTTCCTTTTCTCTGTCTCATCTTCCTAGCCTCCTTTATAATAAGATAGAGCTGTTTCATCTAGTTTAAACTTCTGCAATAGTTGTCTGGTTTACAGTCAGTTTGTCTTTAATTTTATTAGAGAACATTTACTTTAAAATACAACTTAGGATCCTGGTGTGGTGATACATATCTTAACCTCAGAATTTAGAAGGTAGAGGCAGGTGGATCTCTGTGAGTTTAATGAAAGTATGGTCTATGTAGCAAGTTCTAGATCAGTTAGGGTTACACTCTAGATCAGTTAGAGTGAGACTCTGTTTCAAAACCCAGCTAGCTGGACGGATGGATGGACGGACGGACAGACAGACAGACAGATCAAGCAAGCAAGCAGGCTAAGGGGTTCATTACAGTACATAAATAAATAATGTACAGATGGGAATTGGGAACTACTTCTTTGTTCAATTTGATTAATCAATAGATGAACACAGTCAGTAGAATGACATGTATTTATATTGAATGTTATATAAGCATATTTAATGCCACAGAAAAATATTTATGATGTACTATTAAGCTGCAAAACAATAATTATACCAAATTTGTTTTAAAAATTGAAAACTCTGGATAAATATACATGAAACTGTAAAGAGTAGTTATTTTATTTTGTATTTTTGCTTATTTATATCTTTAAATGTGCATTATTTTATGTGTGTGCATGTTCGTGTGTGTGTTTATGTATTCAGATGTGTAGCTGTGCATGTCAAGGACAGAAGTGGACATCAGGCGTCTTCCTCAATCTCTTTCCACCTTATATTTTGAGAGAGTCTGTCCCTAAATCTGGAGCTTACCAATTCAGTTAGACTGGCTAGCCAACAAGCCCAGTGATCTTCCTGCTTCCACTTCCCAGTCCCAGTTATTTGTATAATTTTTAATTTTAGTTCTGGAGTAAATGATAAAGTAAAATGAAAGACTTACTAGGATCATTCCCCTACTTTAAGAAGTTAATAATGCTGGGTGTGATGATGCACACTTTTAATCCTAGCACTCGGGAAGCAGAGGCGGGCGGATCTCTCTGAGTTCAAGGCCAGCCTTGTCTATGGAGGGAGTTCCAGTAAAGCCAGGGCCACAGAGAGAAATCCTGTCTCAAAAAAAAAGGAAGGAAGGAAGGAAGGAAGGAAGGAAGGGAAAAGAAACTGGGCATGGTGGCACACTTGGGAGTCAGAGGCCAGCAGGTCTCTGTGTTCTACTTTTTCAGGCTATCTCTAGCCACATATATAAATTTCATATTCTTAAAGATAAAAACACAGTTCCTGTTACAAAGTGATGCCAAGTTGAATCTGAGAAACTAGACTGAATATAGACTCTCTTTGTCTGTCAAACATGGGCTTTCCTGATTTGAACTCAACCAAAATATTTTCTTCCTGCCTGGTAGAGCATGTGCCTACAGCCTGTGCTCGGGTTGATGCGCTGCGATCTCATGGGTATCCAAAAGAGGCTCTCAGACTCACGGTGGCCATCATTAATACTCTGAGGTTGCAGCAGCAGCGGCAGCTAGAGATCTACAAACACCAGAAGAAAGGTACAGTGATTAGGAATACTCTAACATGTTGGGATCTGAGGTGGTAAGGATCCTTGGGAGATAAAACTACCCAGAACCTAATTTTCATTCAGGACCATGGGCTTGAGAATTCTAAGTAATCTACCTGCTAAGTGGCATGCCTCACGCTATTCCTGTGAATCTCAGCTTTATTATTTGTAAAATAGGGACAGTGATGTCTGCCTTTCACAGGGCAGGTGGAAGGCCCATTAAGACTGGAGAAGATGTTTTTGAAACTGTAAAGCTGTCTCCATATATACACTGCCGGCAATCAGTCTAAATTAGAGCTGGCTGGTGAGCTTGTAATCAGGCCAATCAAGCAAAAACATGACAATAAGGGGAGCTTTTCTTTGACTTTCTGGTCAAGGCTTGAATGATACTGATTAGGAAACCAAAGCAGAAGAAAAGTGCAATTCCCACGTCTGTCTGTCTAACACTTGGAACCTGCTTATTTCCAGAACTGTTGCAGAGAGGAACCACAACAATCACAAACCTGGAGGGTTGGGTGGGCCATCCCCTGGATCCCATTGGCTGCCTGTTTCTCACTTTGACTGAAGCCTGCCGCCTGAATGATGACAGCTACATGGAAATGTCAGGTACAAGAGTCAGCCTGAGACAAGCCAGGACTGCCCATGGCAGCCTTCTCCCTGCCAAACTCTGTGGTCCGGCCATGCGTGTCCTGCTTTCTGCCTTTATCTTACTAGCTTCCTTAGGGGAAAAAGAAGGGCCAGAGAAATTAAAGGAATCAGAGGCCAAAGTCAGAGCAGTCTGGAAATAGAATAGAACTTCCAGCAATAGTGTGTATATCAGGAGGCTAAGTCAGTTTCAGAGCTAACCTGGGTCATGTCATTAAAAACAAAAAGCCCAGGTATAGTGGCTCAAGCCTGTAATCTCAGCACTCAGGAGGCTGAAGCAAGAGGATTACAACAGAAAAAGCAGCCTGGACCACACAGTGTAAAACACACACACACACACACCTCAAAAAACAACAAAGTATCCATCTTTGAAATCATATAATTCCATGAGCAGGATCTTGTTCTAGTTTCCCCTTGGTTCCCCAATCCTCATGATCTCTGTTGAAAGAATTTAGACAAGACTGAGCATGGTGGAACACACCTTTAATCCCAGCACTCAGAAGGCAATGGCAGGAGGCTAAAGTGGGCTACATATAGCAAGTTCCAGGTCAACCAAGGCTACATAGTGAGACCCTGTCTCAAAAGCAAGCAAATTAAAAAAAAAGAGAGAGAGATAAGACACATAGCATGTAGTATAGAAGATCATTGGACTCTCTTACAGGTAAAGTGGTCCACTCTCAAAGGGAGAGTGGACAGTGGCTATAGGGCCCATTGCACAGCAGAACACCCTCAGAGAGGGAACAATGACTAGAGAGAGCTACAATTTTAGGTAGGCTTTATACTACTTCTAAAACTGCTATGTGTAAACAGACTGTGCCTTTGTTTCCCGGCCACCCAAACAGGAATAGTCACACAGAAACTACATTAATTACAACACTGCTGGCCAGTAGCTTAGGCATACTCCTAGCTAGTTCTTACATCTTAAATTAACCTATTTCTATTAATCTGTGTATTACCACAAGGCTGTAACCTACCAATAAGGTTCCGGTGTCCCATCCTTCTCCTTTGGTAGCTACATGGAGTCTCTCTGACTCTGCCTACTCTCTATATATTTATCTCTGTTTGGATTCCCCACCTGACTTTAGTCTGCTAAACCATTGGCCAAAACAGATTTATTCACTAACCAATAAAAGCAACACATATACAGAAGGACAAACCACATCAGATCTGTCTTGAGGGCACCTTCCTATCCAGGTGTTTAGAAAAAAGGCAATGATAACTCTTTATTCTTCACCTGAAAGCCTACAGCTAAATAGCAGTTTTTCTCCTGCAGAATAAAATGTCATTTCCCCACTGAGGGCCAGGCATAGACTCAGATCACCCCCTCCCAACTCCTCTTTCTTTTTTCTTTTTTAAAGAGGCATCGGTTGCCCCTGGAACTAGAGTCACAAGTGGTTGTGAGCCACTTGACATGAGTGCTAGGATGTGAAGCCACTTCCTCTGGAAAAGCAGTGAAAGCTCCTAACTGCTAGGCCATCTCTCCAGTCCCAGATCCAGTTCTTTTGACTAGTAATCAAAATCCTGAAGTTTCAGACCCTCATTTTATAGCTGCTGATTATGAAGGAGTCAGTTCCCAGTGATCTTTAAGCCTGGCAACATCTAACTAGCTGCCTAGCAATACTCTGATTTTCTTTTTAACACTTTCCCTCCTGGTGGCTTTGTACTAGTTTTCCCAGTGTGGGGAAGAATCGCCTAACTGACCCACAATAGCTAGGCTAGCTCACGATTGCTTCTTCTTTCCTTTGCGCTATCATTGTGTTTATTCACATTTACTTTAGTATTAGTCCATTGCATTACAGTCTGCAAACATCCTTACCACACTCTCGGCTGCTTGCAAGCAGAAATTATTACTAATCTTCCTGTGATCCAGCATTACATGTTGCTTTCTTGTCTTCAAAGCTACTTAATAGAAAAAGGGGGGAAGAAGAAAATCACGATCTTTTTGTTTATTTATTTTGTCTCTGAGATTATAATTATATCATTTTCCCTTCCCTTTCTTCCCTCCACACTCTCCCATATTCTCCTTTTTATTCCCCATGCTGGTTCCTAACTCATGCACTCAAGCCGTCATCTCACCACTGTCCTGAGAGGCTAAGACTACGAGTATCTGCCAGCATACCCAACTAAGACGCTGGCTCTTTAACCAGTGCTCGCTTCCTCAAATTTTGAGCGGAGCATATAAAATCATAATATATGATGCAAGTGTTACCAAAGTAAGAGTTAAACTGGGTGGAGTCAGGTGTCTCTAGGTAGAGATGTAAGAGTTAACCGAAGCCAAGCTAGGGCACGCCCTGATTGCCCTTCTAATTTCCTGCATAGGAAGTCCACATCTTTAGTCACCTTCATGTACACAATGACATTTATAGCTTGAAAAACCTGAAGTTGCACTTGGTTTGTTTACCATTAACATACACTGCTCTTCCAGTGTCGGCCCCTGAGAAACAGGATAATAAGATGGTCTTATTCCCTTAAAGTACTCTCACTGACGTAACAGAAACAGACACAGAAATAATTATGAGAGGGGCTGGAGAGATGGCTCAGCGGTTAAGAGCATTGCCGGCTCTTCCAAAGGTCCTGAGTTCAATTCCCAGAAACCACATGGTGGCTCACAACCATCTGTAATGAGATCTGGTGCCCTCTTCTGGCCAGCAGACATACACACAGACAGAATATTGTATACATAATAAATAAATAAATATTTAAATAAATATTTAAAATAAGTAAATAATTATGAGATTATATAGTTCCCTGGCAAAAGATAAGACTTTATGCTTCCCTGACTAGCGTAGCAAATTCATGTGTTAATGTAGGAATCTTTGTGATTCTTTTTGTGAATCTTTTTTCAGTGTATTTTTCTTACGGCTTTGAGGTTCTGACTTAGCTTTATGATAACTATTAAGCAACTGCTATCCCAGAGTGGAACGGGTAGATGCACAGAAGAACCCACTAGACCTGTCCTAAGAACCTGGTATGCCTGTTGCCCTCAGATATGAATGAAAGCAGACTGCCTGTGTACCAGCATGTACCTGTGGCTTCAGGCTGCCCAAACAGCAGTGAGTCATACCTGTCACTGGCTCTGGAAGTTGCTCTGATGGGCATGGGTCAACAGAGGGTCATGCCTGAAGGCCTCTATGCACAGGACAAGGTGTGCCGTAATGAGGAGCAACTCCTAAGCCAACTCCAGGAGCTTCAGCTGGATGAGGAGCTAGTACAGACATTGCGGAAGCAGTGTATCTTACTGCTTGAAGGTAAGAAGAAAAGGAGCTTCAGTCACAAAACCTTTGACTGTGACTCTGGGCCCCGTTCTCTAACAAAGCACAATTATGGAAATATTTATGACACTAAAGAATAATGAAGATTCTTATGTTTAGCAAACAAACTCAGATAGGTTCCTGGGCTCTTAAGTCTAGGTTGATATAAGTATACAAAAATAAGTAAGTAAACTGGGTGGTAACAGCCCACACCTTTATTTCCAGCACTTGGGGGGCAGAGGCAGGTGGATCTCTTGAGTTTGAGGCCAGCCTGGTTTACAGAGCAAGTTCCACAACTACTAGGGCTACACAGAGAAACTCTATCTTGAAAAACCAAAGATAAATAAACAAGTAAATAATAGCTGGCTGACTCATCTTCTTCCTCAGGAGGCCCCTTCAGCGGTCTAGGAGAAGTTATCCACCGGGAGAGTGTTCCTATGCACACCTTTGCCAAGTATTTGTTCTCCGCTCTGCTGCCTCATGATCCAGACCTGTCCTATAAGTTAGCCTTACGAGCCATGAGGTGGGTAGCCCATGTCCAGCCTGTTAGTCTCCACCAGTGCAGATGTGTTCAGTGCCCTCTCTCTTTGCTTATCCCACTCCCCTTTCCTCTTCGTCTGTTCCCTGACACCAAGCCTTCCTTGGAGCAGCTGAGGTATGTCCATATGATTTAGGATCCAGGAGTCGTTATTCATGAAATACTGGCCCTCTATCCATATTCACGGTAGATTGTCTGAGCAGGCCCCTGAGGTATTGGAGCCACTTGGGCAGCCTGAGGAGGGATTTATGTCCTTCCATATCTCCTTTCAGTCATGGGTCCAGGTATAGGTCTCCAGAGAGTGTGGGAGAAGCAGAGATAAATATGTATACCCCAAGACCTAGAAACAATGCTCTATGAGAATCTTGTTTTCAACCTAGAGTAGGATCCTTGGTTTATGAATATAGATTTCTGGGATGTAGCAGACCACACAGAGGAAGAATTTTAGTTAGGCCATAAGACTTAGAGAACTCCTTAGCTAAAAGGGAAATTCTTTGGCATGTGTTTCTTATGCTCATCAAGATAACCCTATGGTACTCTACATGCTGGTCAAACCTCTTTACAATGAGAACTATTCAGCTTGAGGTTTCCAAGTGCTCAGGGTCCTGCCTGATATACTGTAGGTTTAAAACTTCAAAGCTCTCAGCTTGTCTTTCCCTGACCAGTTCCTTCCCAGCAGAAAACAAACTTCCCTAAAGGTGCTCACAATGACCAGAGTCTAAATGAAGCTTATGGTGCTTCCTGGGTCTTCTAGGTTACCTGTTCTAGAAAACTCATCTTCTGCAGGCGACACTTCCCACCCTCATCACATGGTGTCTGTGGTGCCCAGCCGTTACCCTCGCTGGTTCACACTTGGACACTTGGAATCACAGCAGTGTGAACTGGCCTCTACCATGCTGACTGCTGCCAAAGGTAAGTACAGGTAGACATTAGACTCCAGCCTCCCCACTGTGCCTACCCACCCAGGGTCCATAGTCTTCCAAAAAAGAGAAGCCATGTTTTCTGTGGTGACAAGAGCAGTGGAGATCTTCATGTTGACTGCTCGTGAGAAAGAGCACCTGGGTTCAGACCAGAATTTTGCCTTAGTTACTAATTGTAAAACCCTGAATATATAGAATCAAATGATTTTTAAATGTTTAAATATTATTTCATATTATGTGTCTGTGTACATGAGTGTCAGTGTCCAGTGAGATCAGCAGTTTCTGATCTCCTTAGAGCTGGGGTTATAGGTGCTTCTGAGTCCTCTGACATGAGTGCTAGGAACTGACCTTGGGTCCTCTGCAAGAACAGGATGTCCTCTTAACCAAAACCTATCTCTCCAGCACCATAATCAAATAATTTTTGTTTATTATTATTTTGCTTGCTTGTTTTTTTGAGACAGGGTTTCTCTGTGTAGCCCTGGCTGTCCTGGAACTCACTCTGTAGACCAAGCTAGCCTTAAACTCACTGCGATATACCTGTCTCTACTGCACAAGTGCTGGGATTAACTTCAGAATCAAACGATCTTTAAGTTAACTTCTAGATGTAATCTTCCAGCTAATAAAATCAGTTTATTTTTTTCCAACCTCAGTTTTGCAATCTATAAAACAGAGATCATTGTCAGTGATCTGTCAGCTCCCAGGACCATTGGAAGATGTAATGGAGACTAAGACAGAGCTATAAATCTCCACACAAAATCAGATGGTGTGATTTTCCTACCACACTTGGCCTAAGGGTGGAGTCCAGAATGATTGTGACCCCTGTGAGCTCATGGAGCTCTGTGGGCTTGGTCCCAAAGAGAAGTGAAGAGAACTCTAGACAGGGAGCTGCAATAAACCCCGCTGCCATGGACCCTGAGCATTTTGTCCAGGAAACTGGACGTTTAAGATGTCTTTTTATTTTTAATTAAAAATATCTTTGGTAGGAGTGCCTTCAGAGACCAGAAGAGGCTCATATCCCAAGAGCTGTAATTACAAGCTTTGTAAGGTGTCTTATACGGGTACTGGTATGCCAGCTTGGGTCCTCATGAGAGAGCAGCAAGTGCTCTTAACTGACAAGCCGTCTCTCCAGCCCCATGAGTGTTCCCTCTGTGGATGTTTTGAAAGATAAACTCAGAGAAATGATATATCTGCAGCATGGAAGTTTGTTTCTTCAGCCATCTAAAGTTATGGCCACAAATAAGATTTATTTTGTGACATCAATTTAATATTTTGGCTGTAACTGTAGAACCCTGTCAGTAAGACATGGGAGTTGTCCCAGTCTGATGCAGAAAGGGTTAAGATCATCAAGTTCAAAGTCCCTCAGATCAAGTACAGTCTTGACTATAACTGTGTTTCCAACCCAGTGTACATTCTTACATATATTACCTAGACACTAAGTGGGTTACCCGAGTTCTGTGTGATTGGAAGTAGGTATTACTTGGATTCTGCTCAATATCATTTTATTCTGGCTTTAAAAAAAAACTGATATTCATCTCAAGTAGCTGCCATGGAGGGATTTTGGGAGAGCCTGACAAACCCAAATGTAGCTATGGGAAGTGAATGTAGCAGGTGTTTTCTCTCCAGGAATAGAGTCCCAAATAGGGCTAACTCAGAGAAACTCTGTCAAAAAAACAAAACAAACAAACAAAAAAGACCTTATATCCCAAATATACCAAGAATTCTTTTTTGTTTATTTCTGGTTTTGTTTTTCAAGACAGAGTTTCTCTTTGTAACAACCTTGGCTTTCCTGGGACTCACTCTATAGACCAGGCTGGCCTCAAACTCGCAGAGATCCACTTTTCTGCCTCCTGAGTCCTGGGAATAAAGGTGTGTGCCATCCACTACCTGGCACAAAGAATTCTTAAATTCACAAGAAGCTAATGATGTCACCCAGTTGGTAGAGTATATGCCTAACATGTTTGAAGTCCTAAGTTTGATCCCCAGCACTGAATAGACCAGGCATTGCAGTACACTTCTGCACTGTACTCAAGAGGGGAAGGAAAGAGGATCAGGAGTTCAAGGTCAGACTCTGCTACATAAATTAAAGGCCAGCCTGGAATACATAAGACTCTGTCTAAAAAAAAATTGACAGTCCAATTTAAAAACTGAGGAAATGCTGGGCAGTGGTAGTGTATGCCTTTAATCCCAGCAGTTGGGAGGCAGAGGCAGGCGGATCTCTGTGAGTTCGAGGCCAGCCTGGTCTACAAGAGCTAGTTCCAGGACAGGCTCCAAAGCTACAGAGTGGTCTACAGAGTGAGTTCTGCAACAGCCAGACCTACATAGTGAGACCCTGTCTGTATGTGTGTGTTTCACAAAGCTATGTAGTTTTAACATATGTTCCAGTAGTCTTGTTCCTAGATGTTATCCAAATGAGTCAAAAACATTTACATACCTAAACCTGTACAGGAATATTTATATATCATTCATCCTTGCCCCCAAGACAATCAAAATATTCTTCAAAATGTTTGAAATGATAAATTGTGACATATCCATACAATGAAATGTTATCTAGCAATAAAACAGAATAAGCCCCACATAAAAGAACTTCAGTTGTGTATTTCACATTGCAAGAAGTCAGTCTGAAAATGCTACATGCTCTGTGATTCCAACTGTGTGATGTTAAGGAGAAATGGGGACAGGTTTGATGAGCATAGGAGTTTTTAGGGCAGTGAAAGTAGCCAGAATGACATTGTAATTATGTGCTTACCTAAACTGTGTAACACAGAGACAATGTACTTTAAAGTATGAACTTCAGTTAATATTTCAATTGGGTCACCAAATATTTTTTTTTTTTTTTTTTTTTTTTTTTTTGGTTTTTCGAGACAGGGTTTCTCTGTGGTTTTGGAGCCTGTCCTGGATCTAGCTCTTGTAGACCAGGCTGGTCTCGAACTCACAGAGATCCGCCTGGCTCTGCCTCCCGAGTGCTGGGATTAAAGGCGTGCGCCACCACCGCCCGGCTGGGTCACCAAATATTATATGGGAAAGATGAGAGGCTGGAGAGATGGTTCAGTGGAAGAGCACTGGCTGCTCTTCCAGAGGACCTGGGTTCAATTCTCAGCACCCATATGGCAGCTCACAACTTCTTGTAATTCCAGTTGCAGGGAACTGAAGGCCCTCTTCTGACCTCTGTGGGTACTAGGAACATATACAGTACACAGGTCTATATATTCAGGTAAAACACCAATATATACAAAATAAAATAACTTTTAGAAAAAAGATGGGCAAGGTGAATTCATGTGACTGTCTAGGAGCAGAAAGATCTACCAGAGGGTTTAGAAGAGGCACTTCACCAGCCAGAAGGGATGGTAGCATTCAGAAGCATTGGGTAAATTAGCGTAGTTCAACTAGTGCCTGTTGTGAACAGTTTACTGTCTAGGGAAACTCGTGAATGAACCCTGCCCCTATCTTTCTGCTGACTACAGGAGATACTCTGAGGCTACGAACTATTCTGGAAGCAATACAGAAGCACATCCATTCTTCCTCCCTCATCTTCAAACTGGCTCAAGACGCATTCAAGATTGCTACTCCCACGGACAGCAGCACAGACGGCACTCTGCTTAATGTGGCCCTGGAGCTGGGCTTACAGGTATGGCTATGAGACAGTGTCCCAGCTGTAGGTTTCTGGCCTAGTGACAGTTGGCAGAAGATATTCCAAGGGGACTGAACGTAGCCATGTCTGGTTCTTTCCATCTTCCAGAGTACAAGTTCTAGGGTAGACAGAAGGTAAGGACTCTATAAAGTTGGCCTCCATTTGGAAGTTAAGGCCAGAAGTAGACTAGCTTTAGGAACCAGAGGGTTCCCATCTTCTCTACTTCCCTCTTCCTCCAAGTCAGTCATGGTATAAGAGTCTTATATATTGTCAGTCATGAGTGAAGCCTCATGTCTAGTGAGTGGGATGGGAAGAAATTAAACATATCCACACAGAAAGAAAGACCACTATTTAAATAATTAAAAATATTTGCTGTTGGTCTGGAAATGTATCTCATTTGGTAGAGTACTTAACTACATGCAGCATGACCCTGGGTTCAACCCCTAATATTTCATAAACTGGGCATGGTGGGATACATCTCTAAGTAGAGGCAGAACGATTTTAAGTTCAAGACTATGGAGAGTAGCAGGCCAGCCTGGGCTACATGAGACCCTGTCTCGGGCAGGCCAGCCTGGGCTACATGAGACCCTGTCTCGGGCAGGCCAGCCTGGGCTATGTGAGACCCTGTCTCGGGCAGGCCAGCCTGGGCTACATGAGACCCTGTCTCGGGCAAACAAAACAATGTCCTTTGCAAGAAAGAATGAAGGAGAAGAGAGGAGAAGCTCCCAATTGTTAGGCTTGGCCCCCTAGAAATGCCTCTCGTGTCTAGGTAATGCGGATGACCTTATCAACCCTCAACTGGAGGCGCCGAGAGATGGTTCGATGGTTGGTTACTTGTGCTACAGAAGTGGGTGAGTCTCCTACCTCCCTCTTTCTCTTGGGGAGTTTCAAGGCCCGACTTTTCGTACAGAACAATGAATCCTTAGAGCTGTCATATTTCTGTTCCTGGCAGCCTGAGAGAGGATGTGCTGCTAGGAGAAGATGGCCTCAGTTCAGCCAGTCCAAGCCCTCACTGCTGGGACCATATCCTGATGCCAGCAGCACTTTGGTCCCCTGTGGTTAGGGAAATGTTTGAGAGAATACATTTCAGCACCATTCCCCATGTGCTCCCTTGAGAGGGAGTGGGCCGAGTGGTTTGGTCCCAGTCTCTGTCTATGCTTCTGGAAAATTACAGACAATTTGGAGGCTTGGGACCCATTCTAGAACCCAAAGCTCCAGTACAAGACTCTCCCTAGATGCCCACTGTAGCTAGAGCTCCCAGGAAAACCTAGGATCCTGCCTTGAGGCAGGCAAACCTGGGACTCTGTAGGTTCATCTTTATGAAGGGCTGAGGGTACAGCAGAGACCTTCAGCTCTCTGGTCTAGGACGGAAGGGATGGGAAGAGACCCCAAACAGGGTCTGGCCATCTGGGATGCTCCCCTTGCTCTGGTTTGCCTCAGACCATCTCAAGGCTGCTGAGGAGGAGGGAGAACTCGTCTCTGCAGGCCAAGTTCAGACCCCAAATGGTAATCTGGGCAGACTTGGATTGAGATCGAGTAGCCACTGCTGAGCTCAGGTTCTCCCTTACAGGTGTTCGGGCCCTGGTGAGCATCTTGCAGAGCTGGTATACCCTCTTCACTCCGACTGAGGCTACAAGTATTGTGGCTGCCACAGCCGTATCCCACACCACTATCCTGCGTCTCAGTCTTGACTACCCACAGCGGGAGGAACTGGCTAGCTGTGCTCGCACGCTGGCCCTGCAGTGTGCTATGAAGGATCCGCAGAGCTGTGCCTTATCAGCTCTTACACTCTGTGAGAAAGACCACATTGCCTTTGAGGCAGCCTACCAGATTGCCATTGATGCTGCTGCTGGGGGCATGACTCATTCACAGCTGTTCACTATTGCCCGCTACATGGAGCTCCGTGGCTACCCGCTGCGTGCCTTCAAGCTGGCCTCGTTGGCCATGAGCCATCTTAACCTGGCCTACAACCAGGACACCCATCCAGCCATCAATGATGTGCTCTGGGCTTGTGCCCTTAGCCACTCTCTGGGCAAGAACGAACTGGCCGCTCTCATCCCCCTGGTGGTGAAGAGTGTGCACTGTGCCACAGTGCTTTCCGATATCCTGCGTAGGTGCACAGTGACTGCACCAGGCCTGGCAGGCATCCCAGGTCGCCGCAGCTCTGGAAAGCTCATGTCGACAGACAAAGCTCCACTGCGCCAGCTACTGGATGCTACCATCAATGCCTATATCAACACCACACACTCCCGTCTGACACACATCAGTCCCCGCCATTATGGAGAGTTCATTGAGTTTCTGAGCAAGGCTCGGGAGACCTTCCTACTGCCCCAGGATGGTCACTTGCAATTTGCCCAATTCATTGACAACCTCAAACAGATTTACAAAGGCAAGAAGAAGCTGATGCTGCTGGTTCGAGAGCGCTTTGGCTGAGAAAATAGATAGCTTGCTGCCAGGGCAGCCTGGGCTCCCAGATCAGGACATGGACTCTGAAACATCTGTCTACCCTGAGAGGACTCTGAGCACTTGTGGCTGAGCCAAAAGTACCACAGACCTAAGGATGGGGAGAGTCCAAGTTTAACCAGTATTCCTGCCTTGGCAAGCTTCTCACTCCAGCCCCACTCACTGTTCCTGGAGGAGCTGGGCCCTGCAGACCGATCAGATGCCCCCACAACATGTCACCTCACGCCCCTATATCCTGCGTGTCCTGACCATTGGCACCTCTCCCTTGGCAAACACAGAACACTGTTCCGTCTCAGGGATTGCTTAACCAGAGAAACAGAAGCATTTATGGTACTGTAAATACTATAGTATATGTGTTGTCAAGCAGTGTAAAGCTGTAACTATTTATAATTCTGACTCTGATCTGATGGGCACTTAAAGTAGCTGTGGGTGGGATGATAGGCTTGTCTTCTGAGGAGACTCACAACCATTTCTCAGGTTTCCCATACAAAGTATATGCTACTGGCATTGGGTAAGTGGGGGCAGCAGGGAGAAAAATGGACAGTTAAAATCCATGTCTTGTCTGTGCAGAAACTGTGGCCTGCAGATAGGACAGCTAGCCTACTGTTGACAACTAATAGTCATTGAGGGGCAGAGGTCAAGACTGGGCTTAGACGTTTGTCTCACAGAGCTGTGACAACACTGAAGTTCCTGCCTCTGCCTCACACTCCAGGAGCCTGGTGAACACCTGAATAACAAGTGCAGGGAGAAGACGAAGGTCTAGGAAGCCACTGAGCTCAGACAGTACATCTGCTCTGGTCACCTTTATGTTAGAGAATCTGCTTCCATCTCCAAATTTGTCCGTGTGTATATCTGTATGGATAAGAACATGTCTGTGTACAGAGTTACACATGTGCATGCCTGTCAGTTCTGTGTAAATTCTGTGACATGTGCTAGACTGTGGGTTTGTTTGCTGTTTCATTTGCGTGTGTGTGTGTCTGCGCGCGTGATAATGCCTACCTAAGTGTTAACTGTACTCACACCTCCATGTTTAGGGTCTATGTATATCTAGGCACACACGGGTACCTGTGTATAAACATTTTTGTGTCTGACTGTATGCCTGCTGACCATGATATGTCTTTATGTGAATGGTCTCTACATGTAGTCTGTCAGTGTCTTCATGCTTGGGGATCTGCATGAGTGTGCCTTCTTCCTGCCAGTTCTCTCTTGCCCATTCCTTAGTCTCTTGCTAGCTGAACATCATTACCCATCTCTGTGCCTCCTCTATTTACCTTCTTTCAGCAAACAAGTTTCTAAGCACTAGTGTCCCTCTGCCGTTAAGATTGGCCACTTTCACTCCACTGTTCTCTTCCTCCTACTCTACCTCAAACTTCCTCTGCCTGCTTCCATCCTAGTTCCATCGGTAGCTAATGTGGAGGCTGAGGCTGGTATTCCTTTAGTGTTGCCCTTCCTAACTTCTAATCCTAGTGGGTAACCCCCATCAGCCCATGCTGACCTCCAGTGTGTCATGTTCCTACTACTTCATGACCCCTATGCTTGCCTGCACATACAGGAGGTGGCAAGGGCATTCAGAATCCTCTGGATACAGGTGTCTTGAGTGTTTACTGTTTTGTCTTAGTTCCTGAGTTGGGTGGGGTTTGATAGGGAAGGGGTGGTCTAGCTAGAGGGCGAACTGAGGACCTTTCTGTCTGATTTACTTTATTTTTCTTTGGAAAACTACATGTTATCTTTTTTATTCCAAACTGACCAGTAAGTTGTATTTGCTGTTTGTGGCTACTAATGTGTTACTGTCCAGCCAAGGGCCCCTACACTGTCTCAGCCCAATGGGTTGGCAAAAAAAAAAAAAAGCCACTCCCATTTCTGTATCATGATTGCCCTTTTTTAGCAAGTATGTGAACTCAGTGCTTTTCTAAGAATAAATCATGGATCACAGAAAAGATCATTTTTCTAAAGCAGAAATTGTGTTCTATCAGTAAATGAGGCCCGTCTCTCCTTTGATGGGACAGGGGTCTGGTTGGGCCTAGAGATGTACAGAAGTGGACATCACACCCATCTCCATGGCACTGAGGCCTCAGAACCTTGTCCCAGGAATCAGACAGTCACGCCCTAATGTCACATGATAAGCAGGATCCCAAGATTCTGAGACAATCAGCAGGCATGCTCAAAAAATAGCACACAGTGAGCTAAAGTGTCAGAGGATCCTTTGGCTTCATACCTTGGCTCCAGTCCTAAGCAACCTAGCTGTGGGTCTTTATACTCTCCCATAATATGGTATCAAAGCTAGTCTCCCTAACTCCTGTCTACCCAGACTCCATCTCCCTCTCCTGAACTCCAAAGTGTTTTAGCCACTTTGGTGCCCTTTTTTATTTATATATGTCATAGCCCCAACTACCTGGAAAGGTGTACCAAATATCACGTCACTCTTGGGCTTGGGTGGCTGACAGCACGATGGTAGTGTGAGCCTGGTGTTAATGCGGTAGGGCATCTCACTGACACTGAGCCCTGAGACTTGTGGAAGAAGATGCAGAGGAGGCTTAGCGAAAAGGAACAAAGGAGGCTGGCCTGGTGTGACACACATCTTTAATCCCAGCACTTGAGAGACAGAGGTAGGTGGATCTCTGAGTTTTGAGGCCAACCTGGTCTACATAGTGTGTGTGTGTGTGTGTGTGTGTGTGTGTGTGTGTGTGTGTGTGTAAGAGGAAGAGAAGGGAAGGGGACTGAAGATAAGATCATAAACTTTTACAAACAAAGGGACATGTTAGACTCCAGCTCTTGAAGTTTTATTCTCCTGGAAACAACCCGTGTTGGTGGTCCTCAAGCAGAAAGGAAAGGCATACACTTAATTCTGTCGAAGTAGACGTGAATGTTTGTGCACAGCATCCACAAAGGCTCCTACATGTTCTGGGTCCATGTCAGGGTACAGCCCGTGCCCTAGGTTGGCAATGTAGCGTTGTGGCCCAAATTCATCCAGCATCTGCTGTACCAGTCGACCAATCTCTTCCTAGAGGACCAAGAGGGCACTGTCTAGGAGGTCAGCAAGGCTGTAGCCTCCCTGACATAACAGTAGTGCACACACATGCAGGAGCACTTCCACAGGGTCACTGTCATTAATTTAACAAAACTTATCAGGGACCTCACATGCATCGGACATTAAGAACATACAAATGAGGGGGCCCGGGAGATGACTCAGCAGGTAGGGTGCTGGCTAGCAACCCTGATGACATGAGTTCAATCCCTGGGACCCACATAAAGTCAGAAGAAGATAACTGATTCTAAGTGTTGTCCTCTAGCCTCCACATAGGCACCATGACATACATATACCCAAACACACAATAAGTTTACCAAAAACATACACATGAGAGCTATCCATAATCTTAAAACTTTAGGAGGTGGAGGCAGGAAAATGAGTCCAAAGCCAACCTAAGTTATGCAGTGAGTTTGAGGCCAGCCTCTGTCTCAGAAAGGGAAGGTGTGGTAGCCCGACAAGCACAAGGCTCTGGGTTGGGTCCTCTGCTCCAAGGAGTGAGAGGAGGAGACAGACAACAGCCACAAAAACTAATTTGTTTTCATTTCTTGCTTTCTTAGGTGTGTATAGGATAGAGGAGAGGAAAAATAGGTATAATAAACCATACCCCTGTGATCACTCAGCTACTGCACAGTGCACAGAGAAAACCGTATACATACATGCTAGGCCCAGTAATTACCTCAGATGCATACAAGGCACAAGGATCCAGATTCCCCTGCAAGGTCACCATCTTCCCCACACGCTCCCTGGAAACAGAGCCATTGTCACATCCTTGTCACTGCACATTTGGGGATGGTACCCCTCTACCTCAGCCTCAAGTGCCCACTCCTCCATCACTCACCGGGCTTTCTTTGGTGCCACTGTCCAGTCAAGTCCAACTACCTCATAGCCAGCCTGGGCCAGCTCTTCCAGGGCAAAATGGCCATCCTTAGCAAAGATGATCTGGAGAAAAGAGCAAAGCTCTGACACTAAGCCTTGCTGTGCCTGCCGCCTTTCTTGACTGTGCTTCTGCTACCCTCCAGTGGTGACTTCAGTCCATGCAGGACTTAGCCCTGAAAGTACTTCACTAAACCTGCCCCAGTCCTCACCATGGGCACTGGTGCCAGACCTGCCTCCTGCAGCCCAGCCTTCACTCGCTTAGCCACATCACGGATGTAGGGCAGTGCAAACTTGCCGAAGAGCTCTGGGCCAAGATGTCCTGCATGGGACTCAAAGAGCTGCAGTGCCTATAGATAGATGATAAGAAAAGTGAATGCATAACGCACAAAGAGGAAGCACCTCCAGCCCACATACAGGCTAAGCCATAATTATCCCTGGGTGACTTTAAACCCTGATCTATTCTGAGGCTAGGAGCTTGGTGTTAATTCAAAAAGTTTTGCCCTGGGGGCTGGTAAGATGGCTCAGTGGTTAAGAGCACTGCCTGCTCTTCCAAAGGTCCTGAGTTCAATTCCCAGCAACCACATGGTGGCTCACAGCCATCTGTAATGACATCTGGTGCCCTCTTCTGGCCTGCAGACATACAGACAGAATGTTGTATACATAATAAATAAATATTAAAAAAAAAGTTTTGCCCTGAAAGAAAGAAGCCAGGTGGTGGTGGAACATGCCTTTAATCCCAGCACTTAGGAAGCAAATGCAGGCAAGATCTCTGTGTTTAAGGCCAGCCTGGTCTAAAGAGTGACTTCTGGGATCTCCAGGGCTACACAGAGAAACCCTGCCTCAAAAAACAAAAAAGAAAGAAAACATGCAGCAAGGCAGTGGTAGCAGACTCATTTGATCCCAGCACTTGGGAGGCAGAGACAGAAGAAGAAGCAGTTTTGCCTCCTCCAGATCCTAACAGCAGCTTCAATCTCCAAATACTCAGACCTTTAAGTACTGGGTCGTTTCAGGGCTTAAAATCTCAGTGCTTCTCAACCTGTGGGTCATGGCCCCTTTGAGGCTGAATGACCCTTTCTTTTAACAGGGGTCCCATATTAGATAGGATGATTCATAACACTAAGAAATTTATAGCTATGAAGTAGCAAAAAAATTTATGGTTGGGGGGTCACCCTAACATGAACTCTACTAAAGGGTCACAGCATTAAGAAGATTGAGAACCACTTAGATACTGCAGTCAGATCACTGGAGGAACAGTAAGTCCCTGCTTTCTCCACTTTAGGAAGCCATTGCTTTGGGTCCTGGCAGACCAAGCTGCAGCCTACTTGTCCCTAGAGACTCACCTGAGCACCAGCAGCCACTTGTCCTATTAGATAGGGGACCAGGGCATCAGTGAGTATGCCAAGCAGCTTGTGACTGGCCTGCGGTCTTTGGTACAGCCATCGCTTGGCCTGAGCCATGGTGCTTGAACTGCCACCCTCCACCATGTATGTCATCAGGGTCCACTGCAGGGCACAAAGATGTCACAGCATAGAATCCCTTGTCACGACCAGACCTGCCAGGATGACCTCTTCGTGTTCCAGCCCATGCCCTGTGCAGAATTACCGGAGCACCAGCAAAGCCAATTAGTGGCACACGTCCAGCCAGCTGTTGTCGAGTAAGGGTGATGGCTTGGAACACATAGCCCAACTCCGTGGCCACTGCTGCTGGATCCCGTAGGCGCTCTAGGTCCCGCTCTTCTCTCAATGGCTCTGGGAAGCTGGGTCCTTTGCCAGGTACCATGGTTACCTCCATGCCCAGTGCCTTAAAAGGGGATAAAATATCTAGGTTCATAACCTGGAACTGCAGAGGGGAGGGTTGTTTCAACCCATGTGATAAGAAGTAAAAGAATAAAAAGCCCCGGCAAACTCCATTTCTTAGTGTTTTCCTCTACCAGTTATGTACTTATCTTGAAACTGACAAGACAGATTTCCAAGGAGTCCTTTCCTTTCCCTTTTTTTTTTTTTTTTTTTTTTTTTTTTTTAAGTCACCTTCCATGATCAGGATTGAGTACCTGGGGCACAACAAGGATGTCAGAGAAGATGATGGCAGCATCTAGAGGGAACCTTCTTAGTGGCTGTAGGGAATAACAAGAGGTTAGAGAGGTGGCACACTGAGCGCATGAATCCCACCCACACTTGGGCGGCCCTCACCTGCAGAGTCAGTTCACAACAAGCCTCAGGAGAGCGGCAGGTGCTGAAGAAGTCCTGGCTCGCCCTAGTTTCCCTAAACTCTGTGAGAGGAGAGGGAGGACAGGACTCAGCCACGAGGTCTTCCAAAGTTATCATGGTCCCCTGAAGAACTTCGCCTTCTAGAATTTCCGGTTTTATCTAGACCATAGCTTTGCCCCTGACCTGGTAAGTATCGGCCTGCTTGTCGCATGCACCAAACAGGAGTGTAGTCTGTTTCCTCTCCCCACGCTGCTCTCAAGAACGTGTCGTTTTTCAGCTCCGGAAAATTCTTGCGTCTGGAGATTAGGTGGAGTAAATGTCATTAAGATAGATTGGGGTTTGGGGAAGGCGGGTTCAGTCAGGCACCGCTATCTGCCGCCTCCAGGTCCGCTTGCAAACCATGGCTCCCCACCCATTCTGCCTCCTCTATCAGTTGGCGCACAAGACCAGGAGAGGGGCCCCACTGGGGCCTCTCTCTACACCTTTGTCCAGCTTTCCCAAACTAGAGGGATGAGGAGATCGTGGAATGAAAATCCATTAAGGAGAGTTTGGGGAAAAGAAGTTAATCTCGAGGACCGGGCCGCGAGTGGCCCAATTGTGAAGCAGGGCGATCCCCCAAACCGAGAGCGAGGATCAGAGTTGATGGTCCCAGGTGCTAGTTAGAAGTTCTGAGTCACCTCGGAACGTCCTGGGACGCAGTCCCGTAAAGTAATCCCTGGAATGGCGATGGGAGCGGGCGGGGAGGCGGGGCAGGGAGCGGGGAAGGTTCTGTTCCACGACTGGAAGATTTGGAATCTCAGTGACTTGGGTTCGTACTTGGAGAGTGGAGTG